GGATGAACTGAACCTGAGGGGGCTCCCAACTGGTCTTCCTCGACCTTGATCTTCGATTGGTAACGATTATGTACATCTGACCAAGTCACAACTGGATTCTCGATCAGATTTATCTTCAACTGTCGTGACGCGATCGAACTCCTCTCATTCAAACCCTATGTAAAAGCTTGCACGGTCCAATCATCCGAGACTGGTGGTAATTCCATTCGTTCCATTTGAAATCGGGATACAAACTACCTTAGCATCTCATCATTACTTTGTCTTATCTTGAAAACATCCGATTTCCTTGTGGCAACCTTTATGGCCCCGGCGTGTGCTTTTACGAAGGCGTCTGCTAACATAGCAAACAAATCAATAGAATTCGGTGGCAAGTTGTGATACTAAATCATTGCTCCTTTTGACAAAGTCTCCCCAAATTTTTTCAACAAAACCGACTCGATCTCATCATCATTTAGGTCGTTTCCTTTAATCCCAAAAGTGTACGAGGTAATGTGTTTATTAGGGTCACTCGTCCCATTGTACTTAGGAATATCGGGCATACGGAACATTTTAGAAATAGGCTTCGGAGCCGCACTCTAAGGAAATGGCTTTTGTACGAATTTCTTGGCATCCAAACCTTTCAAAACCAGGGGTGCTCCCGGTATTTGATCGACACGGGAGTTATACGTCTCCACCTTTTTATCATTATCCTCGATCTTTTTCTCCCCCGACTCGATTCTTTTGGTGAATTCTTCGAGCATCCTCATAATCGTGGGGTCAGCCCCCGAGCCATTACCGTTTGATCTTTCAGGCACCGGCTCAGCACGGCGAGTGATTTTTGGCTCGACCACACTTGGAGTTTTATGCTGACTTTGAAGCTGAGCGATAGCAACCTGTTGAGCTTGTAGCATCTCGAATATTACTTGAAGGCTAACTCCTCCATCTCCTACACTCGGTGTTCTTTGGCCACCAGATCGGACTTCCCTATGTACACTTCCTCCGAGGTCTGCGCCTAAATCCGCATTCAAAGCAATGTGTGAGCTAACATCAACTGGTTCCACATTGGTACATCCCCAGGGTTAATTGGTGGTATGTCGGCTCCCGGAGCGATTACATTGTTGTTTTCACCGTGAAATCCAAGACTGTCATCGCCGTGTACGGGTACGTTTTGTGAGTTTGACATGTTTTAACCTGAGAACAAAAAATTCTTGACAAGAACAAGTGTGAAAATGACGTGTTATATCAGAATCTGTACTGAAATAATCACTACTATCTTTAGCCCCACGGTGCGCGCCAAACTGTTTACCTCGAAAATACGAGTAACAATTAAACTTGTTTGTGGTTTTAAAGATATGTGATTTAGTTCAATACTAATTAATAACCAAGAAATCTGAAGTATAAATGAAAGAAGTAAGTTGAATCAAACCAGTGTTCAAGCCAATCTTAACCTCGAGCTACAATGGCCTCGAGGTTGGTCAGTAGGAATACTAAAGTAAAGATAATAAAATTAAGAGACAATTCTGATGAAATATGAGTAAGAAAGTGAGAGAGTATATTCTTTGACAATGATTGATGATGGTTACAAATAATTGGGGTCCCCTTTATATAATAGGGGAACCCTAAATAAGGTACATTTCTATTTACAGTAAAGAATCTTATTGGGATAGATGTATAACTGCCTAGTACGGATTCGTACTAACTCGTACGAATCTATTCCGGAATTTATGCCATGATCTTGGGGACGTGGCAAGAATCTTGCTCTTCCTGTTACAAACCCATAACGGCATCATCTCGTGTTGGTCATAATCGGCTCCGGTACTCATCGTGCACTTCGATCTTCGAGCCTTGTGTTCTGCCCTCGGGCTCGAACCCGGCCCATACTGAATCTATTCCTCAATGCAAGCCCTCTATTCCTCGATGCGAGCCCTCGAGCCAACAAAATCTGGGACACATGATTTTACCGTATACAAGAAGAAAAAGAAGAAGAAGGAGGAAGAGGAGAAAAATGCCTGAAGTTGTTTAAAAAGTGGGTACAAGTTAAAACTTTTTTCAAAAAGTGGGTATAGGTTAAATAGGGGCGACCAAATAGGGCGCTAGTGTAATTTTTCCGTTTCTGTCTGGCTACTTAATTTGAAAAGTATTTTTGAGTAGCAATTAGTGATTGGTCAAACTTTTAAAAAGTTTTGTTTATTTTTTTCAAAAGTCCCTTTTTAAGTCGCGATATGAAATGACTAAAGTTCATATTTCCTGTTAAATAACTCAGAATCCTGATAGAATAATTCAAATGACTAAGTGAAGTTAACTATTAAATAAATTAGCTATTAATTATCTTAAAACTTGGGAATTTTTTTTTTTGATTTCCTTTAGAAAATTTTCAAAACAGGAAGTCGGAACACATCCAATCCTTTATTGTTCTCACAAGTTCGAAGGAGAGTCCAGAGTCTGTAATTTGAAGAGGGGAATAAAAAATGAGACACAGTTCACTAGAAAGAAATTTACATTAATTGAACCTTTTCAGAACTGGACCATTTGTAATATGTGCTATTCCTTGAGCTAGCCCACCATTTGAAAGAATATTCCACTGAACATAGTTTATAAATGGTCATATGACACGAACATCACGAGTTCATCTTTATTAAAAAACTTATTTACTGATTGGGGAAACAGAGTTTAGATAAAAACCCTATGGCACTGACCTGTAAAATGAGCTTCAAAATAAAAAGAGAGGCATGAAGTTAACTTTCATGTGGTGGGATGTGACTCTGCTTTTTCTAAGTAGTGATTGTTTATGTCTCTTCTAAGTCAATAGTAACATCTCCAATGATGCATGTCAATAATGTAATTCAAATTAATTACATTACTCACGTAAAAGGAAGCAATTCTGCAGACTACGGAATGAATATAATTACTCGTTCCATTGAAGGCCAAACCAGCAATCCCTCCCGCAATAATTGGATCAAATGTATGCAAATGCAAAACCACAGCACTGACAACCAATAAATATTGTGCATTACACATGCTTACACAAAAACACAACTTCAATTCCAAATCTACAGCATACCAATAGATTTAGCAGCACTACAAAATTCGTCAAGGATCTCTGGACTTTGAAGCCACCATAGAACAAGCAAATTTCAACAACGAACACATGAACGCTGGAGAAATTCATATGCCATATGCCGAATCTGACAGCAAACCAGCAGAGTAAGAGAGAATGCTCACACATCTGAAAGAAAAATGGTCACTAAATTAAACGCAATTTTTATGTATAAATTAATGCATTCATCAAATACCTAAAATTTTCACTCACCTTATGTGTTGCAACTTACAATTCTATTATCATCCAGAGAAGCTCTTCCGATGTTGAACCAATCTAAAGAGAATTTAAAATAACGTGTCATGCAACACAAATAAATAAACTATTTGAATTTCAATATAAAGGCACATACCAATAAAATATTGTTACCCAATTCAAGTTTCTCAAGATAATCTAAATTCTCCTCAACTCTAACAGGAAGAGATTCACTTCGAAGCCAATCTTGAGCACATACAAGAATATGCACCAATGAAGGAGTCAATGAGCTCCTAAAAGAATCAAGAATATATTCTCCAGTAGTATATGCACTTTCTGATGCCACGGTAGAAACGGGAATCGCTAAGACATCACGAGCCATCTCCGCAAGAATAGGAAATCTACGTGAATTATTTTTCCACCAAAGCAAGATATTGAAGTCATTACTGTAATTCTCAAGTTCTTCACCGAGATACTTGTCCAACTCTGTTCTAACATCCGAACTTTTAACCTTGGCTAAATGTCTCTGCAATTTTTGTCGCAATTTTGAGATTGGTGTTTTATGATGGTTCGGATGACTATTGTCTAATGTGTCAACGGCGGAAGACAATAAAAGTTGAGATCCCATTGAATTTTTCTTTCGATACTCATCAAACAAAGAAGTCATGTATTTCTTCACTTCATCATTTATTTTTTCCCCTTTTTCTTCCCCAAACAGACTCACAAGAGCAAAAGCAACATATTCAAATTTGTTCCGAGGATCCAACACACTTGCAATAAAAATCATCTTCATCTTTTCTGGATTACCAAAATACTTGTGAAGTTTATCTTCCATTTTCTTTGCCATCAAACTCATCTCAACATTTTCATTATCTATCATTTTTTTCAACACAGCATCAAGCTCACAGATCTCTTCAAAGTGAACATTAGATGTGACATAAAGTGATCCAGAGACCTTCAAGGTAAGTTCATAAAAGGGTTTCAGAATTTTCACCATATGCCTTACATTTTCCCAGTCAGTACTTACAAGTGAGCCGGCAGGTTTTCCATCGTCACAAACATAAGTTACAAGATAATGCATCAATCCAGGATCAAGAGCACCATACCTTACAAATGCTTCCTCGAATTCTTGTGCCACATTCAACATCAAATATGTGGAATCCCACCTAGTAGGAACATCCAAGCATAGTGAATTTTCACACGTTATCCTTTCAAATAAGCAACATGCTTTAAACTTTCTCCACCTTTTGGAAGATTGCCTAATGTATCTCACAGCTTGTCTAACACGTTTCACAGAATCACCCACTTCTTCCAACCTTCTTGAACAATAAGATTGATGATGTGAGCCATCCATTATATTTGTTCCCCATCTACTAAATTGTTTAGACAGCTCTTCTACTGTGATATCATCCACACTATCAACCGTAACAGTGAGCACCTTATCTAAACCCCAATCACACAAACATTTGATAATAACAGTTGCCATATCATCGCATTTATGACTGGTAATTGGACAAAAATTCGGTATCTTTTTGTGCAAAGTCCAATCTTTGTTGATAAAATGAGTCGTAAGACACATGTAATTCATTCCTTGCAATGAAGTCCATGTATCAGCAGTAAGACAAACTCTTTGTTGTGTTTCTTCGAAAATTTTCTTCAGTTTCTGTTTCTCTTCACGATAAAGATCAAAACAGTCCCTAATCACTGTAATACGAGAAGGAATATGAAATTAAGGTTGTAGGACTTCCATAAAGTTCTTAAAACCTTCCTTTTCAACAACACTAAAAGGTTGCTCATCAACTATTATCATCCGAGTTAATGCCCTGCTACAAAGTTCTTGATCAAATTCGCAAGGATTAAGATTTCCCTCAACTATTGGGCCACCTGAAATTAGTTGAAAGCCTAGTTGTGTTTGCCTAGTTTCAATGTTACGGGGAAATTTCGCGCACTTTATCATATGACCAATCAATGTGGATGCACCATTGTCTATTGTATGAGCAGCATAGCACTTATCACAGTACTTACACTTTGCTCCTGTTTCTCCATAAGAATCAGTGAAGTTTTCAAAGTGTTCCCACACTATAGATCCAGACTTCATAGTTTTCCTTTTTTTTGAACAATTTTCACTGATAGATGTAGTGTTAGTTGTTTCATTTGAACTCCCATGTTCACTTAAACTTTCAATCTCTGCCATCTGATAAATAAAAGGATATATTATATCAACCAACTACAAGCAAGATAAAAGTACAAAAAGCAATAAACATATAGTTAAACACAAGAAGCAAGACAGTGAATGATATACGTTTAAATAAAAGAAGCACGAAAAAAAAAGAATCAACCAGCAAAACAACATCCACCCTAAAACACAAAGAAAACCAAATGCTAAAGTAGTTTTGATTTGCGAAGTTTGAAAACCTTAAAATAGACCAAGAAAGTTACCACCTTCAAACCTGCAATTCTCTGGAATATTGAACCTAAAAATAATAGTGTAGTGTTCTTATGTCCAATATTTCAAAGATTAGAAAAACATGGCAAATAGACAAGGCTCAAGGAACAAGGCTCAAGAACACATTTGTCAAATAAACTTGTTTGGTTTCTATAGTTAATAATAGCAACCCAAAAAAAAAAATTATATTCTCTTGCTAATTTTTCATAGTTGTAGAAAGAGCAACAAGCGGAATATATGACAAACATTATACGGACAACATTGGTCACTTAGCCATAGGTTTCTCAGCTATCTCTCTTGCTCTAAAATCTTAAAGTTACTTGGATACAAGCTATAAGCGATGCATCTTTATATTAGTTGATTGAAGAAAACAGACCTGAATAATTAAGTACCAAAATTCCAAAGTGATGCACACATTTCAATATGCATGATAGCATACACTTAAATATTGAAATTCCCAAATGCCATCAAAATTTAGAGTGTTAGAACTTAGACATAGTAATTCCAGAAATCATTCAAAAAGCTATATCAAAAGTTCAACTTTCATAACACCACACCTTAAATATTGAAATTCCCCAAGTTCAAAGCATTAGGGACTGTCTATCACATAAGGAAAAAATCATAGTGCAATCTTATTACAACCCATTTTAATTTCACAAACATGAAAACAGAAACGGACCTTTACCCTTGATGGAAAATGCTGCAATGGAAATGATTTTCTTTACCTCACTTGTTCAATGTGGCTTTTAATTAGTTCCATTTTTGGGAGCTTTGAATGAGTTGTATAGGAGATGGGGGATTAGGGTTTGTTGGGAAGAAGATGAAGAAATGGAGGGAAATGAGTTGTCGATGTTGGAGAATGGGCAGAGGGTTTTGGTGCGGTTTTTGAATCTTTGAATCTCGAATATACGTTTTCACAATTTTGTATACACTAGTCTTGTACTCTGTTTGGATCATTGTTTCTCATTGTTTTATAATGTATTGTATTGTACTGTATCGTATTGTATTATATTTTTTTATGATACATGTTTGAATAGATTGTATTGTTTGTTATTATTAAATAATATTTTGCTGTTTGGTTTGACTGTGTCGTATTGTACTGTAACTGATAAGTTTACTAAAATACCCGCAACTGTTTAAATATTAAATTTAGCAAAATTATGCATAAAATAATTTTAAAAAACAAAATAGAAGAAGGCAAAACACATTAAGAAAGCAAAACAAAGGAGCGAGACAGAAGGCAAAACAAAGGAGCACAACTAATTAGAATTGAGTTAAAAGCAAATTAGGAAAAAAAATCAAACAGAAGGCGGCAAAACACCTTTAATGTTGGCGGCAGAAGTTTTGGAAAAAAATAAAATAGGTTATAGGTTGGAGATTTGGAGTTAAAATAGAAAAAAGTTAAAAGGTAAAATAGAATTATGGAGTAATAAGTTAGGGCATAATTGGAAAGAAAAATAGGAAACAATCCCACACACCAAATCAGTTGTTTTAAAAAAGAGGACTTTTCATTATTCCGGAACAATAGATTTAACAGCACAATACAATTAATTTTAATGAAACAATCAAAACAAACATTGTTTTGGGATAACAATACAATACGATACAATGGGAACAACCATCCAAACAAGTTGTTAGGTAAGCACTTTGGGCGTGAACCCTAATTTAATAAATATACAATTTTTAAAATTATTTAACTATAATAGTGAGCAGTGTATTTATAATTTAATAAAATTAAAGAACGGATGAAAGTAGCCTATGATTATAAATTAAAAGTTAGTAGTTTTTTTCTTTGGGAGTAATTGCCACCTTCATTATTCTATAAAGATTTTTCTTTTTTGCTTTATTTTTTATTTCATATTAAAGGTTGTGATAAATTACATGTAATTAAAATTTAATATTTTTGTGTTAAAATTAAATGAAGATTCATAGACTATTGTGCAATACAATCTGATTAACTAAATAAAGCTACAATTTGTAGGTTTAAAAATTATAATGTAAACCTTTGAATAAATTAATTTTTGTAAGATTTTGAAGTAAATCATGTATTTGTCACTCCAATTTCAAATCATGGCAAAAACAAGTAAGGAATCCCTATTGTCGTTGGGAAAGCCTATTTATGGAAAGGAAAAGAAAACCTTCTGTTAAGTGGTCATCATCGAAAACAATAATATATTAATTATCTATATTATATTAATTTTAAATATTTAAATATTAAGACTTCGTACACACGGTAATATTTTGTGAATAATTACAGTTGTTATATTCAACTGTAATTATAATTTACATACAACCAAAAATACTATTGTTATGATTTTTTGTTGATTCAAATTGTTAATATTAGCTCATTATAGTTTTAAATAAAGAAATAATTTAATATGCAATATTTTAGTAGAATTACATTGAATCACTCATTAGTGAGATTTGATCAGCAATATAAATTACATCGAACCTCAATAATAAATTATTATAATCAGGTTTAATCATATTTTTTTTTCTTATATTTGGACAACCAACTTTTCAAGGAAAGGATTTGTAATATATAAAATCTTGGTTGACTTAAAAATCTAAATATTAGGACTTCCTACCTTGTTGAATAAAGAGATATTTAATAACTAAAATCTTAATTTATTTCAACATCCTAAATATTAGGAAAGTAAATTTTTACAATTTTGTGCAATGTAATATTTATTTTTAAAAGGGTAAAAAAGGCAAACGATATTTCACTAAGAGCTTTCGTGCTTTTTCAGATCTTGTTTTATTGTAAATAATTTTTCCATATCTCAATATAACCATTTAAAAGTGTAGCGTGAATTTTTGTTCCGCGTAAAAAGTTTCACTTTAAGTTAATCTGATGGTTAAAACTATAATATGAAAAGACATGAAATAATCTATATTATTATTGATATAAAATAATAATTACCTCTTCGTCAACTAATGTCACAATTTTTCGGGTGCCTTGATTTGTTTTATTGTAGAACTCTTTTACTATTCACTCCCAAACACTAACACTCATATTACCTAACATGAATCACATACTTTTAGACTATTTATTGGGACACATTGGTCTGACAATCCCTTTTCACTGGCCATTGCAGGTGTACCTAAAATAAAGTATAAGAGTTTATAAGTTATTAAAGTGACTAATTAAATAATTGGTTATTTTTATGATATAAGGAAGATTTTTTATCTGAACGGATGTAATTGTTGAATCTGAGTGATTCAAGCATGGCAATTGCAAATAACGCAAATCATTACTATTACACAGAATTAAAGCATATTGTCTAATTTTTGATTTTATTTAAAGCAAGCAACTTGAGCTGGCATAGCAATAAGTATATTTAATCATACATCAAAGAAAATAACAATACTAATTTAAGTAATAAGACTTAGATCGAATGTCTAATCGATTTTCTGTGATGAATGAATTGCAATTGTTCAATAACCTGTATTAAATTTCTAAATTACGTGAGATGCGAAATTAGCCACGTCCAAAACATGAAACAAAAATTGTATAATAAAAAGTTGTTAATGCAACAATAAAGATAAATTGTTGATGTAACAATAAAAACTGGTACATACAAAATACGAAGTAGCAAAAAATGTCGATATAAGTAAAAGAAACAAAACCTGAAATTGCAGTGTTGGAATAGGGCGTAGTTTGACGATTAGTTTGTGACATTGTAGCTTCTTTTATAAAAGTATTTCGGTACACAATTTGACACATAAAATAAATTATATGCTCTTGGACAATCTAACTACAAAATTTCCTTGTGTACGTGCGTATTTATTCCTTGTATGACAAATAAAGTCATTATTGAGAGTTGAACAAAGTAGTAAGAGTTTAGGAAAAAAGTTATTAACTATTCTAGTGTACAAAAAATTACCAAATATTACCTACTCCAAAGAGTAGGGAATTTAACCAAAGTCAAATACACATACGGTCAGTTAATGAGATTGAACCAAGTAGCTAAAGTGTAGGAATTATTTTTATTTACTTTCCTTGTGCAAGAAACGTGAAGAATTTTTTTAGCAAATAATTAATGCAAACCAAGGAAATCATTTACAGTGGAGTATAGGGAAGCGAAAGTTTAGGGAAAATTTTTTATTAACTTTCCTTGTGTAAGAAACATGAAGAAAAATTACAACAAAAGTAAAGCAAAATTTAATAACAAATAACTGGCAAAAATTTACCAAATAATATCGTGAACATTCCGAAATTGTTCAATTCTTATTAAATATTAATGAAATACTTAAATTACTATATTGTCCAATGTGAACTCTATGTTTTAAAGGGTAAAAAAGACAAACGACATTTCGTTAAGGGCCTTCGTACTTTTAATATAGTATAGATATAGATAGATATAGATATGTATATTCACTACATACGTATTAATTTTATTTTCCCTTTTAGATATCAGAGAAATGAAGGTAGAAATTCTTCTGTAGACTATAACGTACTGTTATTAATAATATTATTACATCGGGAATCATTCGGAATTTTACTATTCTTAGAATTAATTAGTTCTATATATATATATAAGCTTTTATTTTGAGAAAAAAGAAGAAGGTAAAATCAAACTTTTAATGCTTACAAAAATATGTGTTTTTGGTCAAAATAAAAATGCCATTTATTTTTAAATTTTTAAAATCATCTTAAGATAATAGATAATGGCAAAAATGTATACATTGACCCTCCATTTCAACTCTATGATACTCCTTTTGTTTTGAAACGCCTTAATGTATAT